ACTACAATTCTGCTGTAACGCTTGTTGTAATCTGAAAAACAAAGCAAGAACAGACAAGTCAGGGATGGCAGACTTCACCCCCTTACCCATACACACGGGGCAGTCAGAGATGGCAGACTTCACCCCCTTACCCACACACACAAGGCAGTCAGAGATGGCAGACTTCACCCCCTTACCCACACACACAGGGCAGTCAGAGATGGCAGACTTCAACCCCTCATCCACACACACAAAGCAGTCAGAGATGGCAGACTTCACCCCCTTATCCATAATCAAAAATAGCAGCACTAAGGCACATTTTTCTACAATACAGGAGGAACTATGGTTTTATTGCTTTTACCTACAATAGAAAAAGAAAGACAAAAGAAGGACAGAGATGGCAGACTTCACCCCTTTACCCATAGAGTTGATAATCATAGAATCACAACCATACAGACATACAGACAGACAACCCAAAAACAATATTTGAAACCCTTAGGAAAACACAATCATGGAAAACATCCAAAAGCTTCCTGCCATGAGGGTGCAGTATTGCATCAGTCCAACAGGGGGCACTTTTGAAAGTTGTGCTGATCATGAAAAAAAGACTCAATATGCAACACTGCTGTATGACATAGTACATGCACAAAACATTAGGCCACACCAATTTGATTTGTTGCTTCTCAGATTTTTTCAGAGAAAATTAAGTGACAGGTGAAAAAAGGAAAATAAACAGACCTAGGGCCACACCAAGTTAATTTGTTGGTTCTCCGATTCGCCTCTGGACTTCATTTTTTTCTGATTTGCAAAAAAAAAAAAGATTCTGGTTCTGAATCAACTCAAATATGCTCAAATTTTGCAACAAACAGTTGAGGAAAGTCCTTTTCTTCCTAGTTATGGGTTCACCACACCACGAAGTGGTGTGGTGAAACCATATTGCTTTTTCTGATGTTTCTTCTTCTTCTTCTCCTCCTCCTCCTTCTCCTCCTGCCATTTTTTAAATGGATTCAGCTTCTTCATTTTAGGGCCCAAGGTCCTGAAATTTGGTATGGAGGTACAGTGGGCAAATACCCCTAGGCGTTTTTTAAATTATTGTGATACAGGCTTTTAGAATGGTTTTATTTGAGTTTTTTGGCTGTGTTATAGCAAATGTATTACTGTGTTAGGGTGCCTTGTTTACCACGTTTGGACATGAGTCATCACAATGGAATGCAGGGCATCAACCAATAGGCATGCAGCTTTCCTCTATACTTCTTGCTGATTGGCTGTTGGGATTTAACTTGATTAACACCTGCACAGAAGCATTTCCATACTGACAGTATGTCTGTATTCAAGTGTTTTGGTAGGTATTTCAAGCTTTCCTGCTCCAGCAGTGGAATGCCGGGCATGGACGTTTTTTTTTATTTTGAAAATCAACAGTTTGCATTATGCAATTAAAAATCCTAACCAATAAAGTAGGGAATAGCTATCCAACTGTTGTTTTAGTTGTATTTTACTTCATATTATAGTTATATCAATGTAAATCATTGTTTTCACTTGTGTTTCCCATTCTTTCCCTGCCATGTCGTAAAATGTGGTGAACCCATCGCTGTATTTGCTCCAAAGCAAATATTGGCCTTTCTAGTTGTTACAGTTTTTCCATCTATCAATGCACTGGTTTGATTAAAAGTTCACAAGTAGTAGGGGATATGCTACCTGAAACGTCTGACACTTTCCAAAATCATATCCAGTTGCTTCAGTAACTGTATTTTGGCGTATAATAATTAAAATAAATCTGTACTCACCACTACTCAACAAGCTTGTCTGGGGAGGGTTCACTAACGCTGCTCCTCTCAGTCTACAACCAGTTATATGTCCCACCTAGATTCCCTACTCGATCAGTTAATGCACAGTCCCTCGAAGGTTTCAGCTACAGCAGCTTCTAACAAGTTTCTACGCGATGCCTTTTAACTTCTTGCGATGATGAATGACTCCTGGAGTCGAAAGCTCGTTAATCTGTGCTTCGTTAATGCTCAGGGATGTAATAATCGTTCGCGGGGAGTTCCAAGAGTTCCTTAATGTTCTGCGATGTAATAATATCGTCGGCGGTAATTCCCTCCGAGTTTTCGAGGACTCAGAAGTGAGGTTGATGCGTCAGTTTTCTAACCAAACGAAATCCTGCGTAAAGTCTCCAAGGACTGAAGCAGATATCAGCACTCAGCACTTCGTTACTACACTAATCAGCTGGCCTCGTAAGTCAGCTAATTAGTCGATTCCGTACGGTACAGTTATGTAATAGTGTCTGGTGCTTGTTGAAGACGCTAGCGTATCCAAACAGTCCGTAGTGAAACTCCCAGAGATTGTGGCAATGTCTCGACGATGTTGCAAAACTCGCAGCGATTGTGGCAATGTCTAATGATGTTGCAAAACTCGCAGAGATTGCGGCAATGTCTCGACGATGTTGTTGCAAACTAGGCAGCTTCCACAGACTTGGTAAAATGCCAGTTTTTGCCTGCAGTTAGATGGTATCAGTTTTCAAGGTCACCGTACTTCCTGTTGATATATTTGAAGTAGCTGCTGCAAAACTGCAAGAGTTCGTGCCACTGTCTAGATGATATCACACTCTTCTGGCTTGTTCCTGTTGATATTTTTGCCTCGGCAACTTTTCACACACAGAAAAAACTTTACGACTTTCTTCTAGCAGTCAGATGATGTTCAAAACTCCTTGGTTCCTGTTTTTTTTCCTTAGCTACAAACAGTGAAACTGTAAGAGACTTGCCAGAGTTTTGATGGTGTCCTGTCTTCTTAAGCTGGGTTCCTGTTGAACTTTTTGCCGTAGCTACTGAAGTTTCCACAGAAGGGAAAACTACAGTAAGACTTTGATCCAAAAGTCAGAGGGTATGGAAAACTCCCGGGGTCCTGTTTTTTTCTGTAGCTACAAAATTTCTTCCAACAGTGAAACTGTAAAAGACTTGCCAGGATTTTTGATGATATCAGCACTTCTAGCTGGGGCTCCTGTTGGTATTTTTGCCGAAGCTACGAAAGTCCTTCCACAATGACACTGTAAGCAATGTGCCTGGAGTTTTGAAGATATCTGCTCTCTAGCTGTGAGATATATTTTTGCCTTAGCTTATTCCACACACAGTGAAGCTGTAAAGGATGTGCAGGGGGTTTTGAAGATATCTGCTCTTCTATCTGTGTGCCGGTTGATGTATCTTTGCCTTAGCTTATTCCACACACAGGGAAACTGTAAGAGATGTGTTGGGAGTTTTGATGGTATCAGCACTTCTAGCTGTGTGCCTGTTGATATACTTTTCTCGAAGCTGTTTTTCCACAAACTTTAAGATACTTGCCCGGAGTTTTTATTTGATGGTATCTTCTCTTCTAGCTCGGTTTCTGATGATATTTTTGCCGTAGCTGTGAAACTCTTCCCACAATGACACTGTAATCGATTTGCCTGAAGTTTTGATGGTACCCTCTCTTCCAGCTCAGTTTCTGACGATATATTTTTGCCCTAGCTCCTTTCCACACACAGTGAAACTGTATTAGAGATGTGCCAGGAGTTTTGATGGTATCTTCTCTTCTAGCTCAGTTTCTGATGATATATATTTGCCCCAGCTACTTTCTACACACAGGAAAATTGTGAGAGTCTCTGCAGGTATACTTAAAGATGAAATCAGCACTTCTGGCTAACTTCTTAAGTAGTCGTGATGAACGTCTTGGCAGCAGTGAAGACTCCTCGGGTGAAGATGATTCGGCCCGTTCCTTCAGTCTTGTCTTAAGGAGATTTGGATCGCTGATGAGACAAGTCGTGATAAGTGTCTTGGCTGCAGAAACTCCTCAGGAGAAGTGAAGATGATTCAGGTCGTTCCTTCAGTCGTGTCTTAAGGAGACTTGGACTGCTGATGGGACAATTTCCCCAAAATCTTCAGACGTCTTAAAAGGACGAAGATCTTACAAGGAACTGACGTTGATTGAGGAGTCCACAATCTTAAAGAAGCTTCCGTTTCCTTCTGGGTAATCTCAAGACGCTCCCTGATAATCCTTGAGAAGTTTGGGCCAGTTTCTTAATAGATTCTCTTCTTAAGAAGCTCAGGAGGTTTTACTCGGACCGTTTCAGATCTTAGACAATCCCGGAGTTGGAGAGAAACGGATTTCTTTAAGGAAAAATCCCTCCTGTAAGACTTTAATGTTAACTGCTGGGAGAAACTTTCCCAGGGCAATTTCCTCGGCTCAAAGTTAAGAGTTCCTCCTTCTGTTGAATCTCGACTTTCTGTCCAAAAAAAATTAGTGACCAAACAAAGTTTGTCAGTGCTTTGGTCAGACCTTCCTTCCACACACGAGTTTTCCCAACACAGATGGAGCAATCTGAAATGTTCCACAGGTAGGCTTGGAGGGTTGCTGCTTTTATTTTTTCCTCAGTGCTGTTGGAATTAGCTGCTCCCTGCCTTTGGAGATCACTGTTTGGTCTGAGAGTACTGTCCTGCTGTGATGTTGTCCTTCTGATGCACTCAGGAAGTGGTGATGATGTTGTCTCTGGTAAGACTCCTCCTGTTACATCCTTGGGAAACTGTTGATTATAGCTTCAGCAATGTGGAAGACTCAGGGGCCTGCAGGGATGATGACTAGTCTGGTAACTTCAGGTGAAGATGAGTTGGTCTTCAGATGCTGTAGTGGAGCTGTTGCTAGGGAGAGGCTGTTGCTAGGGAAAGGATGTTGCTATGGTGATGCTTTTGCTAGGGAGAGGCTGTTGCTAGGGAGATGCTGTTGCTAGGGAGATGCTGTTGCTAGGGACAGGATGCTGCTATGGAGATTCTGTTGCTAGGGAGATGCTGTTGCTAGGGTGATGCTGTTGCTAGGGAGAGGCTGTTGCTAGGGAGAGGCTGTTGCTAGGGAGAGGCTGTTGCTAGGGTGATGGCTGCTAGGGGGGCTGTAGCTCTGGATCAGAAGTCAGGAGTGGCTCTGAACATCACCTGGAAAACAGCAGATGGACAAAGTAAATAATGAGCACCACGACAAAGAACTGATGCACATCTAATATGCAACAAAAGTGTGCAAAGAATACATGATATACATGCTGGTGTGTTACGCCACCAAAGAGCAGTTATAACAGCTTTTCAGATACAATTACAGATATGCACAGTGCACATGAACGAAGAAAGAAAATACAAAGTATTACACAATATACAGTGAAGAAAGAATGCGTATCTGAAATGATACCAAAGTTTGTAAGTTCTTTGCAGAGAGCTATTGTGAAGTTTGTTGGCTCTAAGCAATGCCAGCTGTACTAATGTGTAGCATGTATTTAAGCTAAGCTATTCTGAAGTCTGACTTTCCCAAATCCTGTCTCGATTGAAAGGCAATTCTCTTAATCCTCTTTCTCCTAAATCTAACGTAAAGCAGGCGCCGAAGTGATCAAATCATACATCCTCAGACTGCCTTTTGTATGAAACACTTTCCTATCAAAGCAGAATTTAATCTAAGACTTTTTTTACAGGGCTCGAAATTCATTTTTGGGAATAGGTGCACTGGTGCACCCAACCTAAAAAAATTGGGTGCACAATTTTTTTAGGGGGTGTGCACTGTATAAAACAAACCTAATCATTGATCTTACTGCTCTTCGTCTAAGCTTGAATCTGAAATTGGAGGTACTTGCAAAATCTTACAAGTACTACAGCAAAGATTTTATTATTTTATAACCCTTACATGCCAAGAAAATCCTGTATACTGTTATACATTTAATATGTACAAAAATACCTACAAAAATATTTGGGTGCATTGGTGCACCCACAGAAATACATTTAATATGTACAAAAATACCTACAAAATATTTAGGTGCACCAGTGTACCCACAGAAAAAATTGGGTGCACATGCACCCAGTATTTCCAGCCCTGCTGCTTCATGTATGAAACACTTTCCTATCTAGGCAAAATTTAATTAAACACCAGACTATTGAGATTCCTGACAGACATCCCTGCAAGTCTGATAACATCAATGGATTATAGCTGAAAGTGCAAACTAGAGACTCAAGGAACTAATAAACACTGTGTGGAAAACCTACCTAAGCAACACAATGGCCTATCAACTTCTATTACGGTTAGGATAAGGTACAGTTCTGGATATGTGTGGACTATCCAGACCCATGAGTGACCATGGTTCTGGATAAAGCATGGTTCTGGATAAAGCATGGTTCTGGATAAAGCACAGTTCTGGATAAAGCATGGTTCTGGACAAAGCATGGTTCTGGATAAAGCATGGTTCTGGATAAAGCATGGTTCTGGATAAAGCATGGTTCTGGATAAAGCATGGTTCTGGATAAAGCATGGTTCTGGATAAAGCACGGTAACCGTTCTGGATAAAGCATGGTAACCGTTCTGGATAAAGCAAGGTTCTGGAAAAGCATGGTTCTGGATGCACCTGCTCCTACTGATCACTAAAACTCCTACCTAACAGCCTTACCAGAGACAACATCATTGCTGCTGCCTGAAACATCAGAAGGACATCTCAGCGTACTAAGTACACTTAGCTAAGCAGATCTGACAGATTCTGCCTTCTCCAACTCCTACCTTGTTGCAGGCAACATCACAGCACAGATTAGGTGCATATCACAACATTCCTGTGTACATTCTAGCTTTCCAATGAGTGCATTAGACAGATTTGATAAAATTGATAAAAGGAGACCCTTACCTAATAGCCATGATAGTAAACTGTTAGCATCGTCAGATTTGACAGCTCCAACTTATCTGAACCAATTCCTTTTTCTACTTCTACCTTCTATCTTGCTAAAAATTAGCAGTCCCAAATGATTATAAAATACATTTCTCTCTCTTCTCCAACTCCTACCTTGCTCACAGTTTGTTCCATCACTCCTCCTACCTTGCTGCACGCAACATGACCCCACAGATCAGAAGCACATCACAGCATTCCTGGCACCCATGTACTGGATTCCCACTGAGGGCACCAGACAGCCCCCACTGAAGTACATGTCTACTAGACTCTCTGTTCTCAAATGGCTACCTTGTTGCATGCAACATCACAGCACAAATTTGGTGCATATCACTGACAGCATTCCTGTGTACATTCTGGCTTCCCACTAAGTGCATTAGACAGCCTCAATTGATAAAAGAAGATTCTTACCTAACAGCCATAGGAAAAAGCAATTTGACAGCTCCAACTGATCTGAACCATCCCTTTTTCTCCTCCTGGCTAAAAATCAGCAGGATATCAAAGCATACCTGTGACTGTACCTTCTCGATTCTCAATGTAAACATGAGACAGCCCCGACTGAAGTACAT